CAAGTCTGCGAGTATTTGGCTGAAGACCCAAGTGACTCTTAAGAAGTTAATAGAGAGGACCAGTCTATCTCAAAAGGTTCTGAATTAATGAATGCACGCGCACGCAAACTTGCAGCCTTCAGAAACAGTGAGAGGTGGAGGCAACTGAGATGGAGACTGACAGGAAGTCTGCACAATGAGACTGAGTATTGTTGAATTACAATAGCTTAAAAAATGGGAAATGTTCCAGTGGCAGATTTCTCACGTGAACTGGTGTGATAAGGTTAATTTTGGGTGAGACTGCATCGGAGAATGTTGTGTCCACGGTTCATTTCGGAGGAGAGAAGAGTGGACCGATGAGCGGAACATTTTGAGGAATAGTTCAGCTTACCCCTACTACTATTCTGTTAATTATATCCATTGAAAATGTATGCATTGTAGAGAGAACCAATTTATATTAGATGTATTTGTGATGGATTTTCACATACAGTGGTTTTAGTTTTGGTAATATTTGTAGCAAAATTACTGCCCGTGATTACATCATTTATTGGTATTATTTTTTCCAACAGTTAACAGAACAAATAATTCCATGGGCAGTGATTTTGCTCGAAAGTTTGTAAAAACTAGACAACTTCATTGTGTGTAAACATTCATTACAAATATATTTATGGTACTATCCTGTTGCCTGCTGTTCATTCGGATGCTGAATAAAACCTAGAGATAGGTTCTTCAATTTCTGCAGAAGTTGAGAGGGCTTTAAGTAATCGGAAACAAAGAAGGACACCAAGGGTAGAGGGGCTAGTACAGGTGGTTGTCCCTGGTTGTTGGTCTAGTTAACCAAAGTGTTAGCTAGCGTGTGGGAATCATGCATAATCCACCCTGACTGGTATCAATCCCTTATCATCCCATTCTTCAAGAAAGGGGAGAAATCCGATTATGACCACAATGGAATCAGTTTGATGAGTTAAATGTTTAAGATTCTAGGTTCTTTTATTGTCAGACGTCTGAGCAGAGGTCGGGAACAGCAAAGCTGCTAAAAGTGGTCAGTTTTCACACTTGATCATAAGTGTACCGAACATATATTCGCCCCCACACAGGTTCTGGAAAACAGACATTTACAGAGAGAACATTTGTGTGGAAAAAACTACGGCCATTGCTAGTTTCAGAACCACACTTTCCAGCATTTTAATGTCTGCTTATCTGTATCGCTTAGGTTATATTTCCATACGTTTGTTGCACTTCCTTCTTCTTTCTCATATGTTGCTTCAAGATTTAATTACTAAGATTAATGCTACAATGTTCTGAACTTTGAGTTTATTTGAAGCCACCTGAGATATACATATAGGTAGCTGAGGGATATTTGTGTATATGCTTGATTTTGGATTTTTACAGTTAATCAGTATCTATCCTCAACTTCAAATTTATTTGTTCGGAGAACATCTTTGTTGTATGAGTAGAGTTTGTCCATTTTGGTAAAATATAATTTTTATACTAGATTAGTTTATGTGATACGACACAATAATGGACTATTATTTACCGAATAACTTTCCCGACACCATTTCTTGTCTGTAGTCATATCAAGGTAACTGAACAATCCTCAAACTTATTACTTCTTGTCCAACAACTTTTTGTTCTTTAAATTCATAAATCATAGTAATAGTAATTCACAATAATGTGAGATTGAAATAAAAGTAATGATATTGCTAGTTGATGACGTAGAGATTTAACAAGGTTAATAAAACAAAAGATAAAAAGGTAGTAAGCTATTAATGATTTTTCTCAAAGTGTGGTGTTGTAGAACGGTAAGATTGTAATAGAATGGAACCAGAGTTAATCTGTATTGTTAGTAAGAATTTGTGGAAAAGCTGAGTAAGATTTTTTTTCTGTATCTGCTATTTTTTTTTGTATTTCATCTACCTTTTTTTCCAGCATTGTTCGCTAGATGTCATCAGTTTCAGGATGTTTCTGTCAGCTATCCGCGACTATGTGCATTATGTGGAGATTATGTAGTAACACCTCGCTGTAAGGCAAATCGATGCTTAGCTTGCAAATCCTTATTTCACCTCATCTGCGCTGAGTTTTCAAAAAGATTTGGGAAATCACCCTGCCAGAGTGAGGAAAATGTTAAATTGCCAACTACACAACAGAAGACAACCTACCCTAACGCATCATCTGATATTTACCCTCTATCATCATCATCTGTTTCAATCAATGAACAGGTATCTCCATTTCACTGTTTATTTTTGTCCATAATCATTACTACAATTACTCTGCAATTTTGGATTATTTGGCTCATTAATATACCTGTTCCGACTATTAAACATTTGAAGACAGCTGTAAGTTTCGACGCGCAAGCCGCATTTGTATTAAAAGCCAAATCAAAAGTACCCTCCCTAAGCTGTAGGTAACGCTAGGTGAGTGGAGTGGTAAAGTCGCTCAACCACTTCGCTTTTTATCGTTAAACCAGGCGCCACTGAATATTGGTCCCGAAGCAACAGTTTGCACTTGGGTGGTGAGAATTGCATCCCAAAATTACTAGAGTTACTATTTACTTTGTTTAGAAGAGTCTGCATCTTCTCAACGTCTTCGCCGATTAGGACTATGTCATCTGAGTATTCTAAGTCCACTAAAGATTCTGCTATGATTTGATCGATGTCATTGAAGTCAGACGACGAGACGGAGGCCTCGGTAATAGCGTCTGTGTTGGAACTGAACAGAAACAGAGACAGTAGGTATCCTTGACAGAGACTACTGGATGTGTACTGCTCACCTAACAACGCATCATAGGTCGTAACACGCCCACACATATTTGAGTAAAGAGCCTTCACCAGTCTGATGCATTTAGTGATCGATACTCGTCTCGGTGAGATACGCCGACATAAGACCTCTCTATCGACAGAGTTGAATGCCACCTCCAGGTTGAGAAATGGAGGGAGTCTGCTGGGTTGCACTTACATTTTTTGTCAACCTCTGGAGATTCAGTTACAACCTTCAACTCTATTTAGCAGCAGACTGGAGATGGTGACAGGCATCTTCTGGATGTGTGATGTTGTTCTGATCCGGTAAGTGAGTACACTGCTTTGCAGTACACTCTGTCCTATTATGCGGCAGTGAGAGATAGCTGTTGGTAGTCGACGATCTGAAGAGATTACAGGTTCGGGAACACAGATGTTTTCGCAGCACTGCCTACGTACGGTGTAACCACCATGTGAGCAATGTCGAGGTTAGATGAAGCATACTAGGCAAGGAAGGTAAGTCAGTCTATGAGGTTACAAACCTTCATCGATTAGGATGCCTTGGACATATGTCGCGTATGCTGAACCATTGCCTGCCTCAACGTCCAATGCTAGCCGAAGTGGGATTGTGTTTGAAGAATCATCATCTGCATGGATATCGACATGTGACCAGTCATTACTCTGCACAACGTCCCAAGATGCCGCACGTCATCTCACGCCACAAGTAACAAAGTAGTAGGATGAGAGATGAAGAAAGAAGAATTGGTCAAAAGCCGTAGGAAGCAGTAAAAGAGAGGAAGGAGGAATAAGAGAGTGTTGAGTTGAGCTTAACGGTTAAGATGAAGATAAAGTGTGTATATGTGCGCCACTGACATCGATTCTGAGCCATGTCGCTGAGAGTCTTCAATCATAGGTTTCTGTTTTCCCGTGCTTCCCAGTCAGATAGTTTGCATCTTCCTACATGATTGAGAACAACAGTCAAGGACTTACTGCGGTTATGCCATGTATTAGTCTGACCATATCGAGCCATTTCCCAGCAAGAACTTACTTCAGTTAAGATTTACCGATGAGTCAGACACAGAACATATAGCCATTTCTCATGGTCCTTCATGTGTAGGTATAGCACTAGGTGTTATGACAGAAATTTCACTATTCGACTAGATTCCAGTTGATGGTCGTCTATGTTCTGTTCGACTGAACGGCAGACTGAGGACAAGAAACAGTGGTGTGAATCACCGCTGTCTTTTTGTAACCTTTCGTAAGGCACTCACTGACATCAGTTCGGACCGACTGGAAGATGAGTTCTCCCGAAAACTGTCTAGCCTCCTACTGAAAGCCAAGCACTTAGATATGGTCTTTGTTGCATGTGATTTCAATACATAAATGGATGGGCTAAGTCAGTTGAAAGGGCAGGTAGGTGGGCAGCACTTCCAGAATCTCAGCCGAACAGAGAGATAACGGGGATTGTCTACTACAACTATGCTCAGGCAAACATCTTTCGTTAGCAGGAACCTAAGAGATATATATATATATATATATATATATATATATATATATATATATATATGCGGATCGTCGTTCCTTTCATTTTAGGAGTCATCTGAAAACACCGGCTTCGGTGGCTTGGACATGTGTTACGCATGTCGTCCCAACGGCTTTCATACCGTTCATTGTTTGCTAGCCCTGGAACTGGTTGGAAGAGTCTCAGGGGTGGTCAGTGTGTGACGTGGCCCCGTGGGATGAAAGATAGTTGTGTCGGGTTAGCATGTGCTAGTGCATCGCGGCTCCCTGGGTGAGGTCAGAGAGATCATGCAGCACAGTGGCTTGAGACGTTATCATATATGGCTCAGAATTAAAACCAGTGGCAGTCATGCTACAGCTTCCCCTTATCTTCTGCTGCTGAAAAGTAATGAATGTTTTATTTTGAATGTATCTTATTAGACTGTCCTTCTAATCATTCTATTATTGTTTTTCTTTCTTACTTATCCACTTCCCATCATTTGTCTTCATAATATTGTTATGCTTCTTTGTGTAGCGCATTCCTATACTATGTTTGTATTCTAATGATTATAAAAATTGAAAAGGATGGATTTGTTATTCACTCACATGGAAGACGATTGGAACGATGAACAGACCACTTCGAGAAACAGTTCAGCTTGCTTCCAATTGCTGTTACGTTGCCCGCCATCCAGTCCCAACCTGAATGGAACGTCGAGGTAGAACCCCCAACACTTTTATAAGTCTAGCAAGTGGTAGGCAACCTGAAACGAGGGAGAATAGCAGGGCCAAAAGGACCAGTTACAGAGGTCTGTGAGGACGGTAGTAGGAGATTTTTGGTCAAGTTAATTGATAAAGACTATTGCTGGTTACAACTATGCTCAGACAAACATCTCTCTCGTTAGCAGGAACCTAAGATATAAGGAAAGACATTGTCTGAAATGGCTTCCAGCGACCTCATTTCAGCAGTGAATACAGATAGACCATTTTGCCATCAGTCATTGCTGCAGGGGGTCAGTGGAAGATTGCCACTCCTTCTGAAGCACGTGTTTTGACAGCTATCGCACGTTGGTTCCAACACATCTATGTCTGCATCTAGGAAAACGTTAGCAACGAGACCATTGTGAGTGCAACTCGACAATGAGAGGATTAAGACTGCTTTCAGTCATTAACTGACTTGACAGTTATCCGAACAGAACCACATTAGTCACCCCAGAAAATACATAGTGCCATCTACAGTCTGCTTTGAAAATGGGGATAGAGACCACAGCAGACTGTCAGAGAATGGTTAAACAGAGGAAGTTGGTTTCAGCAGCTTCTGAATTAATGGATTAACGCGAGCGTATCCCTGCAGGCTCAGCATACAATGAGAAGCGAGTGCAACTCAAACACAGGTTGACAAAACATTTACTCAATAATGGTTAGCAGTGGTAGTCAGCAAAAGTTAAATTGATGGAAAAGGCTGCGGCGATAGGTAGCAGTAGACAGATATTTAGATTTATTTAGGAAACTGGGGCAGAAAGGTCTGTCGGAACTGTATTCAGTGGTTGCCTTATGAAAGGTTACAAAAAGGCAGCGGTGATTCGCACCACTGTTTCTTGTCCTCAGTCTGCCGTTCAGTCGAACAGAACATAGGCGACCATCAACTGGAATCTAGTCGAATAGTGAAATTTCTGTCATAACACCTAGTGCTATACCTACACATGATGGAACATAAAAAATATTTGTTGAGTTTCCGGAAACTCCATGTACGGATTTTGTGAATTCTGCGTGTTGACTGGATGAGGTTAATTGATTAACTTCGGTTGTGTGTCTCATAGACACATTTCCCACCCATGGCTCTATATGCTAGGGTTTTGGCTAGTGAAGTGTGTGGGCCATTCGACGTGTGGTGTGGCCTTTGATTGCGGTAACTTGTTGTCTGAGGCGCCGCTTGTGGAGACTAAGTATGTTTTTATTTATATTGAGATCGCTGGCGAGATGTGCAAAGATTATATGGTATAGAGCGTTTTTCAATTTAAAGACGTGGATAAAGATTAGAAAGAAGATTCGGTTGTGGAAGGTGTACAGTGTTGTGTGGGGATTTTGATGTTGACAGAGTTCTGATTGCAGTTCAAAGTTGTCAGCTTGTTTTCCCACCTCTATGTAGTAGCTGTCGTTGGGAGGCGAAATAATCTCTATCCATATATATATATGCATGGTTGTTTACATGTTCCCCACCAGGTTAGCGTTCTGCATTTTTAAGGAAGAATTATTTTTTCAAACTATTACCATCGTTACCGTCGTTATTGAAAGAATTGTTTAGCGTTCAATTGTTGGTCAATCAGGATTAAAATCCTTTGCCTGAATTTGTGATTATTTTTTTCACTTAGTATGATACTGAGTAATGTGGCGCTGCCTTTATTTTGTGGTCCCATACTCGTTATGCTTTGTCCTGCCGTTTTCATGGGCAGAAGTGTTGTTAGTCGTTATTGTTAGTTACTTTAGCCTAAATAAAAACTACTTTCATGATAGCGAAATATTTTTTACTTAAGAATTTCTCTAGGTACACTAGTATTATAAATTGATGGGGAATAATTTTTGTCCCGTCGGTTGATCTTAGTTATTGTGGATTCTTTGGGATGGATGTTTTAATCGTGAAGGTTTTATTGCTTTTCTGAACAAAGTCCTCAGCTCAACTCTTATCGGAGTTAGTGCTGGTGGTGAAATTTTTGTGTACACTTCCACGTTTAAGGGCACACTGTGTGAGTTAGTTGGGGACGATGCCCAAGAGGCCCTCGACCTAGGTTTCATGCTTTGTGACACCTGTCAGAAGGTCGTGTTGTTATTGAATCCCCTCCATCCTGACCACCTAGCAAAATGCTCGATAAATTCTGTCAGCACTGAGGACTAGACAGTGACTAATCATTTCAAGATCATACTGTGTTGGACTATTTGTGTGGTAGACTTTTAACCTTCATATCTTATTTTTTCACCAGGTGATAAATTAAAATATTTGTAGCGATTTCTAGAGCAATATTTGTAAATCTTTCCTCTGAACACAAGGTAATATTCATTTTTAGCCGCTGATATCTTGGAATCCTACTCAAGTAGCCCATTGGTTAGCTGTTGTTGGTCTTGGACGTTTTGTCGCATTATTTCTGAAATTGAATTTGGATGGCAGTTTTCTCTCCAAAGTTACTCCTGATTCACCTTATTTATCTCAAGTAATTGATCCATTTGCCCGCGAAGCTTTAAAACAAGCAATACTGGTGAGTTGTATACAGTGCGACTGATTGATCATGGGATTTATATGATGTATTTAATTCTGTCTAGGCTTTATAAATGCCGTTCTTCTTGTGTTTCAAATATCTTTTCTCTCTCCAGATTTAAAAAAAGCCGTAGATGTGGATAATATTGGGTTTAGTACATCGATTTCAGTGGAACCTGTCAGGTAGATAATCTAGATCTGTGATTATGCATGCCACATACTGTTAACCTCTAGCAAATTATACAGTGAAAATAAGGCATTCATTTCCCAAAAGATACAAGGAAAATAAAAGGATTAATAATCAGTGGTAATGATGCAAATCAAAAGCCCTGTGAAGGTTTGTGCAACAGGTAACAAACCACATTTATTGTTTGGTTGTTCAGTCCTCACAGATGTAGTAGGAGATATCTGTTAATCCCTGATATGATGATTTGACTTCTAGTACCGGTCTTAACCTCCTTTTAGGTTTCATATTTGATCCTATGATTATCGGATTGGGAAGAATACCGAATGCTGTCCTAACTTATTGTTGCACTGGGTCGCTATGTGCTAGGTAATTTTACCAACGCTAACGTCACATCAGCTCACACAATGCACACTTGTATTGTGTTAAGCAAAATATATGGAGAATGTATAAGACCTTTAAAGTGTAGGAGGCGTAATCAGGACGTCAACGAATGAGAGTAAAAGGTAGACAAGTTAAGGACATTTGTGATTGGTTGGTTGTTACTCTCATTTCTATTGAGCATGGATGCAACGGTATGGAAACGCGAATCCACTAGTTGAAAGTCGACTACCTTAACCCGTGAGTCATGACTAAGAATTATATTTCGAAAGAAAAAAGTCTATCAAGGTTGAAAGTCAGTCACTAATTACTTATTGAAAAACCAGTCCATGAAATAGTAGATGTAGAAAAGTTTGTTCCTGTTGGAATAATAATTGCCTTTTGTTGAAACATGATTACCTATTTGTACCTCCTACAATAGTTGTTATTATGATGGGAAGATGAGAAAAGCATACAAAATTGAATTGAAACATTTACACTGGATTATTTCTCATACTGCAAAGCGAACTTACCATGCAGTTCTCTTATCTCAATGCATTATCAGTCAGTATCAACGTCGGACTCGGAATTACTGTGTACCGAACCAAGTTACATCATTGTATTGTTGCCGTTTTTAATTTTTTTTCGCTATATTCATTTTATTTACTATTCTTTGCATGATCACTCAGAATTAACAGTCGTTCAGTTATGAGACATAATGCTGTATATTTGTAATTCATTTTGTCTATTAGACTCATTTTTATGTAAGTGCTTAAGTAGTAAATGGAAGGCAGTTACTAGAAATCGTACTAGTGCCGTGTCATGTATTCAGTTCACTGAGTGAATTTCAAGTGCTAAAGGTCCAGGTCCAGTACAGATACTCATCAGTGAAGCATTTAGACAGTAAAAGTCGCTCGGTAGTGTTAGAGTCAATCATATTTACATCTTAAATCACTTGGTCCACGTTGGAAAGTTTATTTTCTGTCACCAGTTGTGAAGGATATTTATCAAACATGTTATCAGCAAAATCGCGTTTAGAAATTTGATTCATAGGTCTGTTCCGGTACTAACCAGAGTATATTATCTCGTGATACTAGTTGATCTTAGAAGGATTTTCTTCTCTCTTAGTTAAATACTTGTTTTTCTTTTTAAAAGGTTTTACAAGGTCAAAATCCCGCTCCAGGCGAAGATGTAAGCATATTCACAAAATTGGAAAGGAAAAAAATAAGCCTTGACAAACCTGAAATCATTGGAAAGCATGATTTCCAGCTTACTTCCTTCTACAGAGTGGTCTCATGTATTGTTTGCAACGTTCCTTTATTAGGTATTATATTTTTGCTGCTTTAATTATCCATTTCATTTTGTTAACTTGAGTTTATTTTGCAGTCATGTGGTTGTGTATATAAATGAAGTTAGGTAGATGGAAACCATCAAAAGTTGAGGGGAACGAATCACGTATGTATATCAATAGATGATGATATTTCATAATGAAGAAATATCCACACCGTTCTTCGTAATAAAACATAAATAACTCATGGCTTCAGCTGTCTTATCGTAGTTGCACTGAAACTTAGCCGATCTCTCCAAAAAAAACTCATTGTTAAGCGCCTCTTACGACACGGTTTAGAAGCTGCGTTTAATGGACTTGAAAAACACTTTGAACAGCATCGACACCAAGAAATAGTCTGCATCAAATACTAAAATAAAGTCAGAGAAATAAAAATAAGAGAATTAACAAAGAAGGAATCTCTTAAAGCAAATTCAAAAAAGCGTTCGTTACTTTTGTTATATCACATAGTAAATAAGTCATCTTGATGAATATGAATAATAATGCCATGAAAACGGTATTCACAGAATGGGAGGATATCAATTTAGTTCGCATGGTTTTCGTCAACTGCATGCAACCTAAATAAATAGGCGATCAAAATGCTGGTGTAAGGATACATATACGTTTTTGTGATGTCATTTCAAACTTTGAAGAGCCAGAATAAGGGATATAATAACAATTGTCTCATGCACCTGAATTCGGTCGAAATCGACACACATTTATAAAAAACTGATATGAATATCATGTTTTGTGTCAGAGAGGTGTTATGTACCGTTTAAATCTCGTAATCATACGAAAAGCTGTCTTCAAATTTGATTAGTTAGTGAACAAGATAACCGGATATACTAGTATTTGTAAAAAGATTTTAATTACACTCCTAACAAGTTGTAATTTGAAAGTGAAGAGAATTGGAGAAGAGAAAACGCAACTCTACACAAAAGTCATTCATTACCAAGGTAGTGAGAGATTGACTACTACTTCTTTTTTGATAACAAACGTTCGGCCACATTCACTTGATGGTTGCGGGCTCAACATATCACAGTGGGACTTGAAGTCATCTATATGTTGAGGATACGTGTTAATTACATGTTCTTTCCAAGTTATATGGTCAGCTATTGCACTGGTAAGCGAAACATGACCTTTTAGGTTCAAATTTCTCAGTAGATACACAAGAACCCGGGGAAATAACCGTTTGTCTTTTCTTCTTATTTACCTGCTTCTACATGTATATGGAAATTGGTAAACACAATTGGAGATACAAGAAGCTGATATCTTCTCTACCTCTGACTGATTCATTGGCCATTTTGTTGATACAGTGGGACTGTTTTACTGTGGGATATGCGATCTACTTGGCAATTCTAATATATCTGCTTATTTCCCTTATTTGTATCACTGCTCTTGAAACCCAATTTTCACACCTACCATTTTTTTGACCTGAGATGTGCTGTGGCAGTTTATGGTCGTAAAAGCAAGTACCGACGAAGTATGTGTGACTGATAAAAACTCCTCGCTCGAACTGACTCAGTAGTGTAGGAGCTTATGTAGAGTTTCTATTTGAAGTGACAATAAGCAGTGATATCCTCCAAGAATACCCGGTGTAAACATTCCTGTTCAACTTTGTTGCAAACGTGTTAACGCGTATAACCGTAGGTATCTCAAACTTCCCAGGTACTGATGTCTTCTCAGTGGTTGACATGGAGTGTGTAGATGATGATGTCCTGTTGGGTGAAAATCCTGACGAGTACGTTGAACAGAAGCCTCATTATGTTAGGCGTGAGTTTCGTACCTGTCGAATGTAAAATGATGGTTCAAGATCGGTCTTCACAGGCTCCAAGTTTAGTAATCGGAAGACAGACAAAATCATGTAGAACCTCGCACACAAGTGCATCGGTTCAAGTTGCCACACTTCACAGTGGTATACCAAGAACAGGTGAATAGAAAGAGAATGATATCAAAGTAGACAAAGCTGTATATGGATAGGGGGTTTAAAAATTAAGGTTAGTCAGAAGATCCAAGCCTTAGAAGACATCAAAGAGTGAATACATCTCCGCTAATATGACCAGTTTTCGATCATTTCACCAAGGGTCTCCAACTATTGATTCCTACGGTATTAGGGTCCTCAGCCAGGTAGCCTTCATCTCCGTACGCAGCTCAGACTACCAGTCAGGGGCTTCAAACACTAATACCACGTCTTAGTATGACCTCTCTTAACCGTCTTCCAATCTAATTGTTCTTACCTTAGCATTGTACCTTGGGGTTTACGTGGTGGCTTGGCATGGGCAGCACATGTCTAATCCACTTCAGTTGATGAAGGTTCACGACTTTATTAAACAACTTTCCTTCATTGTGTTTAACGCTTTATCTCCCGAGGAATTCATATCAGTCCTAGTGGGTAGGTGACTAATGATATCTTGCGCATGTACATAATACCTGTATGGCCATTTACTGGAGTCATTTCTGATGCTGGCGAGATACTTGACTACCTTTCAAAGGACGAGTATACTGCGCTGCATTCCGCCATGTTATATTGGATATTTATTAGTCGTTTAGTGTTCTCCTAGTTTCGAGGCTTGTTCTTGGACTTTCATCACCACACTAAGCGACTTCATCAACATTTCCTTTCATTTGGACGTGAAGCATTTTAAGTTGCATGAATGTTTATAAAGTATATTTGGAAACCCTGAGTGTTGTTAATTTGTAGGTAGGGTGATCTGTCCTTTCTTGTCAAAGGTGGACCTTGATAGTTGTTATCGTTTCACATATGCTGTTGACTCAGTCTCTGATTATTGAATTTCTTAATTGGTATCCAGTTGAATGATCCCGTCTTAGTAACTCGTATATCGGGTCAATGTCTACGTGTCTGTTGATTGCCAATTGATTGGGATACCATGCTTCCACGTATTCTGTTGCTATTTTGAGCTTACTTGTTTATAGTATTACCATGTTGTCTCAGTCGAAGTTGTAGTTGTGTTCATCTACATCTATCAGTGATGACGCATCATGTCATTTGAGCGGAAGTTGATGCTTGTAAATTCTTTGGCTTATTCGACCTCTAGCTTGGTCAACATAGTGATGTTGATAGTCTTTGCAACTAATTTGTCTTCTTTAGGTAATGGATTCTTTAGCTTTCGTATTATATTCTGTAGGGATTTAGTTGGTTTGTGTGCCACATTGATACCCAGTGGATGAATTGATCAGTTGGTAGTTTTTCATTTATCTTTGATGTATAGAGAAATGGTTCACCTCGTAGGTTGACGTAATTGTCTAGATACGTGTTCTGTTGGTAGGCATTTGTTGTCAAAGTTGACTAGATAGTCACTGACTTTGAACAATTCATAGAGATGGTTTTCCTTTCACTTCCGCAGTTTTTGAGTGATGCAATGAGTCTTGGTATGTGCTAATAAGGCTTGTACACAACTCTTCTTATGAGACGTTGGGCTGCTACTGTCAGAGTTTCAAATTCAGTCTGCATATCACTCTCTTGTCTGTAAGGTCCCGTCATGTTTTCTACCAATAAGAACGTCTAGGATGCGATTACATCATTTTGTTATTCGTTTCTTGTGAATTGGTTGATGGTTGTATAGTGATACCCAAGTAATCCAAACTTGCCCTACATTATTGAAATTAGCAATAATGAACTTCGTGGTTCAGAATCATATCTTCATCTAATCACTGTTGCCTTTTTTTTCTGTTTGTGGCAAATGCAATTCAAACTATTCCTTTTTATTACAGACTTTGATACTGCATGCGATGCACATGTTACAACTGTTTTATTCGGCACAGATTCACAACCTCACTACCTAGTTTGTGTCGGAAGGTGTAAAATGGTAGCCTTGTGAATGTTTGTGATTGGTTGTTGTTATTTGGGTATCAGACTATAGCTATTTTACTTTGACCATGTTTTATATCGTATTTCATCGTATCTGATTACTATGGGTCCTAGGATCTTGGATACATTATTGGTCGGTGGAGTAGACCAGTCTGACGGCGCTACCTCTGATTCCCACACGCTGTCTGGTATCTCCGTCACTTTAATCAGAAATCTTCTATCTCCATTCGTGAAAACTACGGTCATAGCCTGTTAGCTGCTGTTGCTTTGCGTCCTTTCAAGTTTGACAATGCCTTCTCAACTTCAAGGAGAGTTGGAGAACCTACATCTACATCCTATTCAGCCTTAGGCTGGATGCTGGGCAACTAAAACGTCATAGTTTCCTGCCGTGGAAGGTTTTCAGCGTCCAGTCCTTTTTGTTGATGGTTTCACTAACCATAATTTTCTTCTTCCGGGTCTTCTTAATAAGCCTAAATGGTTGCTGGGCTTTACCCAACCCTAATGCCTTCTCCAGCTCTCTCACTGTCACCACCTACCACTGTTCGCGATCCGCACGAAGACTCTTGGTCAATTTACGTTTAAGTTGCTTTCGCTCTTCATCATGACCAACTGAAATGAGTCTTCTGGCACCAATCAATTTGGGTGACATCGTGGCAATCCAATGACGTTTGCTAACCTTCATGCGTAGGTTACCAACTGTCTTTACTGCTTTTTGTATAATGGATATATTATGACCCAAGTTTCGTCAAGATGAGCATTACTGTCATGTTCAGATAAATGCTTAGCTATCTCTTCCCTAAATGTCCACTTGACGTTCTCATTTTCCAACCGACCAGAGACAGGCTTTGCTAGCGCCTGTTTCCTGAGACCGGTATGGCGCAGACATAGACGAGCCTATACTGTCGCGTGATCGGAGTCCAAATTGGCACACCAGAAAGAGCGGCAATCCTCCAACGATGGTTTAAAGTAATGTGATCTATTTATGTCCATCGTTGGTTTGATGTCGGCGGACGCACTCTGAGACAGTGTCTCTGTTTATGCTTGATAAAGTTAGTGCTGTCCAGAAAAAAGTGATTAAAAGGACAAAATTGTAACAGACGATCACCATTGTCGGTTCGTCGGCGTAGGATTTCGTAAATACTCCCAAGGTGCCTTTCCGAAGGCTTCAGCTTCCCTACTTGAGCGTTAAAGTCACCTGCAGTTATGACCACATCTGGACGTTTTCCTTTATGCTGCAAAGTTGACAGCTTCTCATAAAATCTATCTTTTTCATCCTCCGAACTGCAGTCAGTAAGTACGTTGGTGGATATTACGAATAGGTATCGGTTTATCTCAAGATCTTTCTTAATTCATACGGATATATTCAGTCAAACAGTACACAGACCGTTGTTGACTGGTATGCACACGTGGAGTTCACTGTCTGGTCTACATCTCAACACTATGTCTGCTCAAGCGAGTCCAGGAGAGCTACCCACTTCGGTCTCCGGATTCTTGTAAGGTGAATTTTGAAGATTGACCACAATGGCCAGGTGAGGTCAGTTGAATAACTACACACGGTTTCAGTGTACATATTTCAGTGACAACACACATCCATGAGTGGAGATTCCAAAGTTTTGGCAACTGATGGTTGCTGTTTGTTCTGGCCTTGAGTTCGGACGTTGAAAGTTACAACATGAAATGGGTGGAGAAGGGGAAGGGTCATAGGAAACTACAAATGACGTTTCGATGGCGTGCATCTTTGGCAATGGTCGGATAGTGAGAGGTTGGAGGAAGTATAAGGGCCCCCAAAACTAGTATCAGAAGAAGACACATCAGGAGACAGAGTTGATGGTGATGGGTTATGTTTGATTGAGTCTTGTGTACTACTGGAAGCGCGCAGGTGGTTTACCCTTCCAGGCTGCCCACATAGTGAATGGCTAGTATCCGTGAGGGATACCCACTGTCACCGTTCCTGTTTATCTTTGGTCAGAAACTTAGATATCTCTGACTTCACAGTAATGCAGTTACTCCCTGAAAAGGATTTGGTTGACTTGGAGTGTGCAGACAATATTGTATTGTTCAGTGAATATGCTAACAAAATGCAGCGGAAATCTTAGTATGTTTGGCAAACATGTCGCACCTAACAAATGTAAGATGTTACTCCAGGACTACTGGTCTACAGATACTCTCGGTTTAATGATCGGAAGTAAAGTCGTGGAATGCATGAACTACTTCACTTACTTGAAGAGTTGCATCATCTGGAACAGGCTGGTTGCTTACGAAATCACACAACTTTGTCTACGTTGATGTCACTTTTTTTCTATCCGCTTGGTCTATGTATATTCCTGTGAAGTATGGCAAAATGAAGTAATACATTCATGTGGGAGGTTCTACGTTAATCTTGTTCATTTGTTGTTTAGGTTTAGAAACTAATCTTTAGTTATGGGCAATCGCGTTGCAGTGCGCAGTGACCTATTGGAATCGAGTACATGGGGAAAGTGGTACTTGATTTGCATATTATATATGTGTTTACATGAGAAAAATAAATATATCTAGATCTCCAATATATTTATCGTACTATGAACGAGATACTAATTGAAGACAAATATTTCTTCGCTTACATTGTCTGTTTTCATACTATTTTCTTTATTGTCAGTCATTCATATGATTTCATATCATAACCCCTGGGGGGATCGCGAGGTCTTGTGATCCCTTCGAATGTTCTAAGAACTTTCTTAGACTATTCCGCATATTTTAAACGTTGTTTGTGTGCGGTCCAGTTGTCAGTTCAAAGAAGTACTTTTTGTGAACTATAAATTGATGGGATTAACTTATTTAAGATAACGGCGTGCACGACTCCTTATCTATCCTTTATCCACTGAAAATGGCCTTTCCCCATATTTCCACCGTACAAATCAGGAGTATGTGATTTGTCAAGACACAGGTATATAACCTACCCGATTCTATTTGCCCGTGGTACATTAAGTACACACTGTCGGATACACTACCATTTTTGCAGTTTAAATTTCTTGCAAGTAATCTGACTCTGCAAATAACTGATGTTTTCTTAATGGTTATTCATAAACAGCATATACAAAGTCAACAACATGACAAAAGGATGTATGGGGATGATCTTGGTTTGTACTATCTCCAACCTGATTGGTAATCCTTAAAGTTTCCCGTCACTAAAGTCTAGTTCTACCCTGTGTTGATTGGTAGTGAGAACTATCAATTTATTATTGGTATATCTGGTCTATCTTCTCCGCAACATTGCCATTTTATTTCGTTTGACTTGTCTTTTAATGGCCGTATTTTCAGTATTGTACGTGGGAGTAAGTAGTTGTAAAGAAAACTGCAGATGACATGGTGTTCTAGCTGAATACCGCCTCATCTTCAGGTTTTGGACCTCAGACATACTCATCTCATCTTTGCTTCATTTTCTAACTCGAAACTTTTTCCAGTTGTGTTTTTGGTACTGTATTTTTACGATTTGAGTGACGAGTAGTTGTATCACACTGCTAAACAATCTTTTCTGAAGTACTGTTCAACAAAGACAGTTTTGATGTAAACTGACAACTGCATATAGTGTCAAGCATGTCCCTTGTTATGTTTTTTTATGAAAGAAATGTGACAATAATATGATATAATTTATCTATCAGGTACAGCTTTGTGTTTTTTGTGCGGAACTTCAAGCCAAGTTTATTGTATGATCTTTTGCAATGTTACCCAGTTCCCCAAAATGAATTAGGCCGAGTGGAATTCGAACCCAAAACCGTGTGCTTAAAATTTGAATACTCACACCAGTAAGCCACAGCTACACAAAGGTGTTCATAATCCATCCTTTTGGGCTCGTTCTCGTACCCAGTGACCCTCTGAAAAGTATAGATGGTTTCCTTCTGCTGAATTATGATATTACCATAATAAACTTTGTTGTCGGAGACGCGTAGTTTTCATTATCTGATGTCATCCTAAGGAAGATGTTACTGAATGATAAACATCATGTATAGTAAGTGGTATATTCTTTAAAGATTGTATCGATACAGATATTTTCCATGACTTATTTAAGTATGGGATTTTAAGTATTATATCATACGCCACTCGGAAGACGCAGTACCAACTCTTCTGTGTATTTTTACTTTATTCATGGCAGTAGTGAATTTCTACATAAAACGCTCTTTTTCTGAATTTTATACAATATTTTATTAAAAAAACATGGACTCAAACATCTTTTTATCATAAGTTTGCTGTCTCAAGAAGAGTTCGTAGTTTTACTTACGATTGAAGTTATGCTCTCCTATTTACTTCCTTTTCAAAGGTTTCGCTCACCAGGGCTTCCAGTGTAAAGCATGTGGGGCTATATGTCATCGTATATGTAAAGCTTTGGATGGCTTTTCAGATTGCCTTGGAAATTTCACTGTACTTCAGTCGTCTGTTCATGAAGAGTTGAGTACAAGCTGTGAAAGTACAGAGATTCCTACTTCACTGGTGCCGTATATTAGTGATTATTTTGGCGTTAAATTGGAGGATCAAGTAATGCACACGTGTACCTTGATGGAATGTTTGTTTAGTAGCTTTTTGAATTGTTTTATTTATGTTAACTTTTAAATTTGGTGAAAATTGCTGATGTGACATTGAGTAAATTATTGATAATGTAGTCAGTGACTGAAAACACTGGTCAGTTTCATGTTTTCCAACTTGGCAATCAGAGACATCACCGATGATAGTCATTCAATTAGTAGCAGACAGTTAATGTTATTAGAAGCCTAAGAGATAGCCAAGTTTGTATTCTCCATTCAGTATTATGGATTAAATTTTATTGAACAACTTCGGAATATGATCACTGTGCTAATTGACTAACCATCGAACTGTACTGAGAACGAATAACTTTCTTGGAAGTTGTTAATATGCCTTTGTAACGATTTCTAGTGGAGATGAAGTACAGGTCAAAGTTAACTGTCTTTCGATTTTCAACGACCCAACCTACCATATCATTGTTGCATGTAGTTTCATGCACAAGATTACGTACTGTATAGATTTTTGTGAGAGCTAACGATGTTGTTCAGTTGCTGAAATCGAAGTAGGGCGAGTTTTGTACGTTCAATCTTGTCAGACGATGAAAATTAAACTATTACAAATAACATGTTAACTTGTGTTGGCTACTTATTGACTTAAGTAACTATGTGGAAATTATTTTTGCCCTGATATTTAGACCATGTTTTTTAAATACACTAATGCATGCACGCCTGGTTAACTAGTTCGCTAGTTACTAGCCGTTCCTAAGCCCGCCCAGGTAAAGAGGGAAGGTTGGGCGTAGGGCTAGCAACCCTACCCGTAAAAACCAATCCAACCGCTAAAGAAACTTCAAAGCACAAACAAAATATAAAAAATAATAACAAAATTATTCCTCACTGGAATCGGAGAGGCGAAATGACACCGGTTGGTGAAAGCCTTCGGGATGCCAATTGGCCGGGCCGATGTGTCTTCTCTCGATGAAAGCGAAAGTAAACGTGGGGACATGGAATATCCGCACCATGCTTGAACCTAGCTAACAACAACAACCTCCAATCACCATCAACGGGAGAAACTAAAACGAAGTAGCCTCTTCACCTGTCTAGGCAGCACTGTCTCAACTACAGGCTGCACAGACGAGGACGTCAAAGTCAGGATCGGAAAAGCAAGACAGGCGTTCATTAGCCTGAAACCAGTGTGTAGATCTTCTGCACTCAGCATGTGGAACATGATCCGGATTTTCAACACCAACGTCAAGTCAGTGCTTCTGTATGGCTCAGGGACTTGGCGCATTACGAAATTGATTTCCAACAAACTACAGACATTCATCAACAACTGCCTACGCTGGCTCGTTACTAAAGATCAGATGGCCAGAATAAGAAGAATAAGCAACAAAGAACTCTGGCCAGGCAACGAACCAACCAAGAAGCTATCGCTGAACAAATATGCAGTGGAAGGAAGTGGAGATGTATTGAGCATACACTGAGAAGGCTGACTGGGGACATCACGCACCAGGCCAGTTGCTGGAGTGGAACCCGATGGGAAGCGATGAGTTGGGCGTCCGAGGTGAGGGTGACATGGAGATCTTGTGAGGAAGAAATGAGAGCTTGTGGGCAGTTGTGGAGCCAGGTTGAAAAGATTTCAGAGAACAGAGCGCATTGGAGACGTGCTACTGAAGCCCTATGCTCCACTAGGAACACAAGGGACAAATAATAATAAAAAATAATGCAATGAAATTCAGGTGAAATATTATCTGTCTGGAAATATTAAGTTAGTTGGATTTTTATATTGCATCTGTGGTCCCCAGGAAACTGCTCAACATGTCTGATATCAATGAGACATTGTTAAAAATAACACTGAAGCAAATTATACTGAATATGCCTATTAAATCTTAGAACAATTATTTCTGCGAAGGAAATCCTTTTCGAAGAATGTATTTTCAAAATTTATACAATCGTATACATATTACACTTGTAATCTGAAGATCCCCTTAGATTATTCAGAACAAGAATAATTTGAACGAACAATTGTTCTCAATAACTTCTTCCTCAAGGTCTACAGTTGTAAATCCATGAGAATAAGTGAAATGCAATAGCCAAAATAAGGCATGATATACAATTACGACATTGAAACAGTCAGTGTTATGGGTGTATGGAGATCAAATCGAATGGAATGGTGGAATGGTCATCAGTCTAGTGTGTTAGTTGTGCAATGAAATCAATGTTGATAGAACAATTACGAAATGAGGAGACAAAATCTACAGATGATGATTCATTCATATACATTTACTGGGGCAAAAATGTGTGTATGTTTACTAAGGGTCAAATAATAATTATGTAGTGATGAGTTATATTCAGGTGGGACGAAAATCATGTGAGTACTATGAAGAAATAGAGCGTAACAAATGTGAAGTGTTACATCGCGGTTGAAGATGACTACAGGTTGTGGTATGAATAAAGAAGGGGGTACAACTAATAACATAAGAAAACACATGTTTATCAGTGTACTGGGCGGGAGGTTGAAATGTGCGATTTGTGGTAGGGAAGTTCATAAAGAACGTGTCGACTCTGTTGTGGGCCAGGGTAGACAAAGTGAATGCATATATTTCTTTTGAATACATAGGTCCGGTTTTCTTGCCTTTATCCCTATGGCTTTGGGTATGGATAAGACGCGAAGTCGTGCACCTTTAAGGAAATTGGAAGCGACACAGTATATCACAGAAGAGCTGCGATCTACCTTAATCTGATGCCGGTATCTACTAGATGTGAGAGGACTGTACTATTGATGCTCTTTGTTATTTCTTTCTCTAACCAAGCTGACAGATGTTCACGAGCGCGCATGGACAGAACCCTTTGAGTACAGCCTATGTAACTAACTCCATGGGAGCAGTTGAACTCATAAATGCACATTGAAGTGGCCATTATAAGTTATCTATCCTTGGTTCGCTGTATCAGTAATGGTTTGGTTGAGAAGCTAACAAAAAGTTCCGCTGCATTGAATATCTTTTCAAATGATCTACTAAATCGATGTGTTAGGGTATCTGAGGCAATATCACCTTAAAAAACTTAGTCTAAGGTATATAGCCTTCTTAGCAACCTTGTCTTTCTTTATTATCTCTCTGAGTTTCAACATGTGTTTGTTTGTGAAGTTTAGTGGATAACTATTTTGTTGCCATGTTATCTTCAGCTCATTAATTTCTTCTTCAATAAAGTCATCAGAAAAAACTTTTCACTTACTGTAACTCAGTCATTTGACCAGGTTTCTTTTATATTGAATTGATGTGAAGCTGTGCAAGTGAATATATTGACTAGTTCATGTGTTCTTTTGCAAAACATTCCTCTTAATATATCCATCCGCTTTTCTGATGAGGAAGACATCTAGGAAAGGAATACTATTCCCCTGTTGTTTCTCACAGGTGAACTTCATAGCTGGGTGAACATTATTGAAGGCATTCAAAAGCTCTTTTTTATTGTAGGTATTATTACAAATTATGAACGTATCGTGTATAAACTAGCAATAATAGTCTAGTTTATCAAGTATGTCCCTAAGTGTACCGTTTTCAAGTCTCACCAAAAAGATGTCTGCTAGCATATGACCCAGAGAAGAGCCCATTGCAACCCTATTTACTTGTCGATATAATTCGTTGTTAAACATGAAGTGAACTTTCATAGTGCATTTTAGCAGCAATCGCTTCTCTTTCAGGTCGGATTCCTACGTTTATCTCTCGTTCTCTTAATTCATCGCAAATATAGTTGACTGTTTCTATAAGCGGAACATTGGTAAATAATAATGTTATATCCAATGAAATCATCTTCTTGTCTCAAACATTCATACTATTGCCATGTTCTACGAAGGTGAATACATCTTTTATACTAAATCATTGTTTGTTTTTATCTCTGATGAAGTGTAATAATAGTGAGTTGTGTGTAAAAATCGATGCATGATTTTGTCAGGTGGGTAGAGTTTACAAAATGTATGGAAATAAATGGGAACATACGTGAGGTATTTGGAAATCGGCAAGTGTACGTATGTTCTAGATAAACTTACCAATGGTTGACACTAGGTGTATTTCTCTATCTAAAGGCTATGTTCCACTTCGAGAGAGGTTTTATGTTAGTGTATCTCACTGAAAGAGATACCGAATAAGTACCTCACTCTGTTGAAGGCTCTTTACTCGACCACCGGTGGGCGTGTTGAAGCCTAGTGAGTTATCAGATGATCTGTGCACATTGAAGGGTGTCCATCAAGGTAACCACTGTCTGCCTTCCTGTTCAATTTGTCATAGGCGTTCTCCCTGTTGTCATCTGACATTACAGGAATTGATCTAGCTATAGGAGACTCCTTAGTAGATCAAGAATACATAGATAGCCCAATCCTACTGGAAATACACGGTAATGAGATGCAGAGTCTTCTGCACACCTTGAGTAGCAGTTTTTGAATGTTTGGGATGCGTTTCTCGCCACCAAAATACAAATTGTAGCTTCAGGACTGGTCTTCAGTAGTGCCTCGGCTAACAGTAAAGAGTGAAGTGTTTGAGTGCATTGGCCACTTCACTTACATGGGAAGTCGGATCACCCCTGGTGCGTCAGTGGGAGACAAAATGTTTAGCACGCCTACTAAAGGCTCTGTTGGTTTTCACCAACTTACATCATGTGTGGCGTTGCCTCGATATCCGATTACCTATTAAGGGTCGAGTGCACTGTACTGCAGTTCGCCATATTCTACCATATGGCTGTGAAACATGACCATTAAAGGTATACGATCCAAGAAGGCTTCAGGCGTTTGACCACCGTTACCTTTGTAGCGTAGACCGTGTGTTACGCTGTCATCACATGAGTAACTCAACAGTCAGGTGTAGAGTTTTAGGGAGGAGGGGAAAGTCATTCGATGCAGTTGTGAGGCTTCATTGAGTGAGATAACGAGAACATGCTTTTGCCATCCTAGTTACTATCTGACTCGCCACGTAATGCTGGCTGAAGTAGTTGATCTGAGCTGTATTGTGAAATACAGACTAGCTGATTGGGAACTACAACAGAAACCAGTGATTGAAGACTCTAAGTGACATGGCTCAGAATCGATATCAGTGGCGCAGATGTATTCATACTTTATCTTCATCTTAACCACTACACTCAACTCAACACTTTCTTATTCCTGCTTCCTCTCTTTTATTGCTTTCAACGGCTTTTGACCAATTCTTCTTTCCTTCCTTCTTTTTTCATCTCTCATCCTACTACTTTGTTACTTGTGGCGTGAGATGACGTGTGGCAACTTGAAACCTTATGGAGTAATGTGTGATCCTATGTTGGTGTCGATTGGTCGATTAATTTAAAGGATACGTGACCGCAGTAGAAGGCGATATATTAACTCAGTTTTACATCAAGTTTGTGTATTATGAGCGACAATTAAGAACTGTAAATAGAATGAAATATCTTGGTTGTATTGAGTTCTCTGAGCTGGATTGTTTAACCGTGAAGCTTTCATCGTCTTTCTAAACGACATCATCAGCACTAACTTCAGTATGAAGTGAGCTGTCAATATCTCTCCATGAGTGACTTAGTGGCTTGCTCTGACGAAGTGGTCTGTGATTGATTGTTTCCTTCGGTTGTTGTGTCGTTGACTGTATAGACTTCCTGTTGGCTGTTCCTTTGCTTGACCTCTGACCTTTCTGTCGTTTATCATTTCTCTTATTAGTTGATAGGTTGGGTCTATGTCTATACATATGTTGATTACTGACTGACCTGAATGCCAAGCTTCTAGGAATTCTCTGATATTCTTTGTTTCCTCTGTTCAAAATTTCTACATTGTCGAGATTGAATTCATGTCCATAATTATCCACATGCACTGACATGAGTAATGAAATGTCGTAACGTTTAATAGTCAATTGGTGTTCATGTAGACGAAGGCGTAGAGGGCGACCACTTTGTCCAGTGTAATGTTGACCACAGTTATTGCAGTTGATTTTGTAGATGATATTCGGTTTGTCTTCTTTGGTTGTTTCTTCCTTTGATCTGCATAATAGTGTTCTGCTTAAAGAGATAGTAAACCTTGTGACTTTCTTTGTTCAGAAGTGAGTTAGTTCACCTTGCCACATCTCACTAAAGCATTGAAAGGAGTCCACTGAAATTGAATGAGATTAAAGACTCCCCCAACAGGTCTTATAGATCAGCCTCAATGGAGTTTGTGCATCCATTTTATGCCCTCTTTCCTTAATATGTTTAGTTATTGAGGGGCTAGGACGTTTGTTTCCAGTATAAATAGGGTCAGATAATCCTATTTGTTTCTGAAGCCATTTCGGAATGCGTTTTAGTGCCCTTATTTTCAATGATCGGTGAGTCGTCCTCCCTATATATGTGTGCCCACACATACATTTAAGACGGGAAATAAATCCAGACAATAGCTTTGATAGGTATATATAGGCTTCAAATTTTCATTTATCCGAACCTTAGCTGCATGATACGTTTTATTGGTGTCATCGTTAACTCTTTTTCTGACTATGAAGCTATTAGTATCACCAATTTATGGTAGCTTGGTGAATACATCTTTCTTGGGGAGAGAGTGGACAGTATTTCTAAATGTTCTATCCACTTTATGCCAGCTTATAAACTTGGTTGGGTAGTTCTCAATGAGTGTCTCCGTCATGAAACTTACTATAATGTTGAGAATTTTGATGATAAGGAGAAAAATATATCCACACTATTACTTAATAATTAGTTATAATTTAATTAATAAGAATTACATGGCAATTAGTGGCACTTGATTAGTGTATTGGGTTGAATGGGTTGACAGTTGATTCGTCCAAGTAGTGAGTCACAGTATGACTGGAACAATTCTATGTACGTGCTGTGTTAAGCTTGTTCATAAGTTGAGCCATGAAAATATCTTTTATTTTCGCTTTCAGAAATTAGATTCTACCTCTAAACTTCCCATATTCTTAGCAGCGTGCACTGAACAAATAGAAAAGCTTGCTAATGAAAGTTTTATCACTGCAAGTAATAATCCACATACTCAACCTATTGACATGGTTATGGTGTATCAACAGTCAGCTTTGGCACATACCTTACAGGAATTGCATAACACCTTTGCTCATTGCTTGCCTTTACCTGATTCGGAGCAGTCATCGGTGCTTCCACTAGATATTGTACGTTTAGCTCAATTAATGAAAGCTTTTCTTCGAGATCTTCCTGTAGCAGTGATACCAGAAGAATACTATTTAGACTTTTGCCACTTAGCAAATATTACAAATACAGGTAAGTGTTTGGTGTTGGTATTTTTTGACTGGTTGTTTGGATTTTTCGCATATATATATATATATATATATATATATATATATATATATATATATATATATATATATATATATATATATATATATATATATATATATATAAAGTTCAAGCCTATTTGGAAGCTAGCAGCGGAATCCAAGTCTTGCGTCGTTTTTCTGTTTGGGACTCTTCAGCTGGATGTACCTTCACCTCAGTGAGGGGTGTTGTTCCCAACGCGACTCGAACTCAGTACCTATCACTTCAAACTGCAAGACGTTATCAACTAGGTGACTTGAGCACGAGAGCCACCACTTGTGCAAAAGCTATCACTTGTTACTTATTGATACTTTTAAGTTCCCGTTGCTATACAGGATCGAGTTACTTGACCTCTATTAGCAGATAGGCTCCTATGCAGATGCTTCGATAATGTCCGAATATTCGTTATGTTGTTTATTTGGTGGCAGCGTAAGTCAAACAGTTCGACCCAGTATAGCGACGGGAAGTTACAAGTATAAACAAACAAAAAGTGGTGGCTGTCGTGCCTCAGTGGTCCGGTTAGTAGCACTTCGGTGTTTGACGCGATAGGTGTTAGGTTCGAGTCTCAGTGGGAGAAACATCACTCACTGAGGTGCAGGTACTTCCAGATGACGATTCCCAAGTGGGACAAAACGCGCATCTTGAATTCCTTTACTAACTATAATGTAGTGGATATTCGGATAATATTGTGACATCCACATAGGGGCCCATATGCCAGCAGAAGTTGAGCAATTTGACACAGTGTAGCAACAGGAAATTACAAGTAACAGTAAACATTCACAGAATAATATTTATCGGTTGTTGTTCATTTGAACGTGTTTTGAACTCCGATTTATTTGATGTTAAAACTTTCTCCCGTCAGTGAATCTACATGGATTTTCATGGGGAATAAAAATATTCAGTTGTTGGCATGTAAATCAAAGCCCAGTTTGCACATAATATTGTTCAAGATACCTTCTAACGGTTTTTAGTTGCTGCTTGTCACAGTCATGAAGACAGAAAAAACTTCATGTGTAACAGTCACATAAGCATTGGCTTATCCAATATATTTTTTTAAAATATTAAGTTTTGTGGCCTTATGGCATCTAATGAAGTCTAGGAACAGTAAACCCAAGATAAGCAAGTAATTTTGGACCTGGTCGTGGATGCATTGACCGAATCTCCACCCCTCACTAGGTCTTGAAATATAGATATATTTAACAGTAGTAGACACCATGTACTTCTTGACCAATAAATGGCATTTCATCCCTTCAACCTAGTCTTCTTAAAAGAGTTTCTCTTACTGAAGAAGCTACTCAGGATATTCACCACCTTACTGTCAGCTCTGTACTGAAATGCATGTTACAGTTTGAAGTGAGCTTTCAAGCTTTAAGTAAACGTCTGCTGATCTCTGTAGTTGCATAAATGTAATCCCTTTTCCATTTTGGGTACTTCTACATTGTGGACAGCTGAGAAGCCCCAACTGTTTGAACGCTTCCACCAGAATGCAAAACCATAATCTGCCTTCCATTCTTTTGTTTCCTTTATTGCCTTCAGTTCCTGTTACCGATACAAAAACTTTTAAAATTTCCTCTACTTTTAAGTAGGATGATCAGTTTACAAGTTATTTACAAATTGTACAGTTGACGTTGACATTTATTGCAACTAAGTAGTTTTTAAAGTGTTCATTTGTGGTGTCAACAGGGTTTCTTTTGGAAACCATCAGGCTGTGAAGACGGTGTAACCTCTGACACAAAAGTGACATGAACTAACGAAATATCTGACTGAGAACCGTAAGTAGTAAAAAACACTCAAACTGATTTGTAGATTTCACTGGCCAGCTTAGAATGGTCTAAACACTTGACGGTCGGTTCATGGGGTTGGGATAGAGGTCATCAACGGAGTTTATGGACAAATTCAACTCATACAGCCGGGCAGTTCAGAATAACAGCCTACCTTGCTAACTGGGATGAACTGGTATACCTTAAATAGAATGACAATTTGTGAATTATTTACAAATCGTATGGTCCACGTTGGCATTTCTGAGTAGTTTTTTCGACTACTTAATTGTAGTGTTAGTCAGTGGCCAACAGTGTCTCAGCAGGCGTTCAGGATGTTCGTTTGGTCTTTGCTAACTTGATGCACTTGTAGCGCCGGTGGTATATACCGTTGCCTGATAAGAGTCTAAAGTACTGCGCAGCAGTTCACTTCGTGCTATTGCATGACCATAAACGTTGGAGTAGATGTGAAGGTTCCAAATGTCAAACCGCAAAATGAGAAATGTAGCGTCTTAGGTAAAATAGGTAAGTCAGTTGGTGGGGTTGAAAAACTTCGTTGATGTTAGTGGTTAGGACATGTATTACGTGTACTGAGCTGCTATCTACATCAGTACACAATGTTAAACAAAGTAGCTTTCATTTGGATATTGACTAAGAGTGACCAGACCGAAGGTGGCATCAATCTATGAAGTCTCTTACTGTTTATATGGGCTGTATAAGAAATTTAGAATTGTTAGTTGGCGTTTAGGTGAAAGTGGAATCCAATAGTGGGAGACTACTTGATACATCTTGTAGAAGATTGCAGTAAGCAGATTCATCTACACCATTGTTTCACATTTTCTTTATTTTTTACTTAGTTCATCTTCTGTATATTCTACGGCTTTCTGAGTTTTTTGTATTGCTTTCTTTCCTATTGTTGGCTCTCAGCTCTTTGTGCTGATTTGGGATGTGGCAACATGAACCACTCCACAGTAATAGATGTTCTCATATTGATAATGGTCAATTCATCTAATACTATTTGAATACAGTTTAGCTTTTAGGATATTAAAAAGGTATTTTGAAAATCGTTTGGGATGTTACGAGTTTTAGTGTTGGTGCCTAATGTTTTTGCAGACTAGTTAGTAGACGTCCCGAAAATGATTCCTAATTTGATTATAACTGCGTCATAGATACTTACTCTTTTTTGGACCAATATATATGCGTAAGATATATTGTCAAATATCTCTTTCCTTTTATTCTTCTTACTTTTAACAGATGAAAAGATACTGGCTGTTCGCAAATTTCTTGACAATCTTCCTGAAATTCATCGATTATGTTTAATTCATATTTTCAACCATTTAGGATTTGTAGTAAATCATCAAAATAAATTGAGATCTTATTTATCAAACTTATCACCCATAAATATCACTCAGTCTAATTCATTGAATGCACCAAGTAAACTTACTCTTTGGTTAATGGTATTTAGACAGATTCTTGTACGACCACCATGGCATCTTATCACCGATATAGCTATGGGTATGGATACGCATATGCGTGCACTGGAAGCTGTGTTCGGTGTTGTCGTCGGTTCTTGTGTTACTGATGAATCAGAAAACACCTCTCACATTGAAAGTTCTTTATCAATTCCATTTGTATCTGAACCAAATCCTGACATGAATACGTCTATTGCACGGAGGAAGTGTGATCGTAAGTGATTGTTTTGGTTTTTCTCTTTTTGTTGAATGTTTTTCATTTCTGTCTGCTTCTTTACCTCATTTGTGAGGTTAACTAATTTTATGTGAACAGTGTAACTACTCACAGTAGTATGATTAATGTTGTAGAAAACTGCGGAATCATTTTGTTTGAAAATCTTTCCCGCAAAGATCGTAAAATTAACATTAAATATGCAGCGTTTTTTATTTCCGACATAGGAGCGAAAATTTGTCCTGTTTGAAGCCACTAAAGACATAAAAAAACATGATTTCGATTGGTCTCACTTTTCTCTAAACCTTAACACGAAGATAGAATTAACTGAAGTTCAAGCAAATAAGTAATGTAAGAGATGATTTGTTCTCCTATAATAATTTGAATAGTTTTTCTAACAAAACATAATGTCTTAGGCGTATTTCAAGTGCTTAAAACACCTATTTCAGGTATCTTGTGTTAGATATGGCCTCAAGATTAGAGTTCACAGGTACCCAAGGTATCGATAGGAAGTGAAGTAATTTGCTTCGAGCTAAGGAATCAGAGGTCTAGAACGTTGGTCTATTATATAAGAGTACGCAGTTAGTCAATACACTGTTATACTATGTTACTAAGATGGGAGTGAAAAAATATGCCTCATTTATGGAGATACATCTAATTATTTTGTTTTAAGAAGCGGACTTTTTATTTATCATTGACTTTTTGGTGCATATCGTGGTCAGTATAATATCCAGTTTTATTTTCTTGTTGATTTTCCGTTATGTAGTGCTTATAAAATGCAATAATTTGAATCGGTACTCTGATGCACCAGGTGTTTTATTAGTTTGCTAAGATAAACTCTGTTGGGTCAAACACAGTGAATTTCCTTTAAATCAGTTTGTAAAACTCTAATTTTCTAAGTGTAAATGTTTTAGTTGTAGGTTAAGAAAAGGGCGATTTTCGTTCTTAGTACCTGTTCATTGTTATGGGCCTTGTGAATTGTGATAGTTGCTTTCTAAACTTTTTGGAAGGTGATGTTAATGAAGAGAAGCATTGGTGAGTTATCACTTCTGGATCCCTGAACTTAGTTGGACAACTTGTTTCACAGAATGGTCTATGTCGAATGTTTAGGCAGCTTAGTTATAAATATTAAACTGTATCCAGTTGCCTGATTATCGAAGACTAGTCTAGCTGCCACCGAATAAACGTCAAGCTTAGTGAAGAAGTGCACGTTACTTTATCTAAAGTTTATCAATTGATTTTCGTACATGGTTTGAGTGAGTTGTAATAATGGATATTTGAAAACCTGTTTGGCTGGTATGAATTATTCTTGAGCTCGATGTATTAAGCGTCGATAGTTACTTCTCTTGGCTTCTAGAGAAGCTGAAAGGTGTCCAGAAGCATTCACTACTATCCAGCCTACATTCAAGGGTTGAAAAGTCGCTTCAGTGTGAAGTGATGTGAAAGATTTATAGCTTCATATTTTATGGTATTGTCGTTGTTTGTATTCAGCTTACAACTTTCCATGTTAAAGAGATTGTTTTCATCTGTAACTGATATCAATGAAAATACGTTGAGGAAGTTTCGAATCTTTAAAAGGACCATTCCGTGTCATAATTGTCAGTGGTAATTTATTGTTCATATGACCCGTTGAATTTCGTCTGTATGAGAATATGTTTTTACTTTCAGCTCAGTCTTCAAGTGATAAGCACAAATCCTCTGAGTTGGTTGCGCCATGTCGGACGGATGCTATTGTTGTACCAACTATAGTTACCCCACCTAGTCCTTCGTCAACAGCTGTAAATAAAAAAGATCTCGAGAATCAGGAATGGTATTGGGGTGATATAACCCAAGAAGAAGTACGTGAAATAATGACAGGTCTTCAGGATGGATACTATCTTGTTCGTGATGCATCTCAGCGTTCAGTTGCTGCATTTACTCTCGTAGTCAGGTATTTCTTACCGATATATATTACATTTCCAAGTTCACTTTTCATTTTCCGCATGTCTTGTTATCTGGGCTAAATAATATGTGAGAAACTAATCGGCGATTAGTTATTTTCAAGTATGGTTATTTTACCATTTTTACCATTATTCACCATTATTTTACCATTTCATTATCTAGTTACATTTTCCATACTTTCTTTTAAATAGATGGCATGGTGAAAACAAATTGAATCGAATTTACCATCGTGGTGATTATTTCGGATTTACTGATCCTCCACAGCCAACTTTTCGTTTAGTTTCTGAACTTATTAATTTCTGTCGTGCTCACCCGTTAACTGTGAGTAGTTATAGTAGTTTACGACTTATTTGGCCTGTATCCCGCCGTCATAAACGTTTTAATGACAAAATTGATGCATCGTCCGACAGTAATGTCTCCGCTGAGAATAGATGCAGTTCTGGAGTATTCGCTTGCTTTTTATCTGATTCACAGTTAAGCAGTGAACTGAAAAATATAGTTGTTAAAATTACTCAACTGGACAAACTTATAACTGACTTGGAGTTACAGTCGAAAAATGCAGTTGATTTGAAAGAGGAAGCTTTTCGTTTAATGAAAGCGTATACTAATTTGCATAAATGGCTGCAAACTTCACTGAGTCGGTTAAATGACTATTCTTGTCCTAGTGAAAAGTAAGTCCTCCTCTCAAAATGGAGCTATTATTAATTATTCTTGGAATAAGATTTTAGCATTGTGATTGAATGTGTGGTCGCATGCTAGACTTTTCATCTGATATAACACGCAGTGATGCAGTACTTATTAAAAAGTACAGATGAAGACGAGGTGCTTAAATTTATTACCAGAAAAATAATGGATTCTGAAGCGGTCTCATTTGTGGTTTATAATACTCCGATAGGTAGAATGTTATGCTGTTCTTTGTTACATTTAAAATTTGGTGGCCAATATTTGAGAAGGAGCTTGTGCATTGTATAATGAGTCAATTTACTGTGAATGTTTATACACACTCATCAGATTCTTAGGTTTTTGGTAATATTTTGAACAAATCTACTGCTCATGATCTCACCAATTGATGGAATTTTAAAATTTTCAGATGAAGAATTAAATGTGATATATACTGCAGGATCATATTGAAAATCAGATTTGTTGTTTGCATTCAGTTCACTAAAGAATAGACGGTATTCTACAAAAAAGCCTTCCCGCCTAAACCTCTGTAAAAGGTGGCATTCAAAGCTGCACGCGTTTTGAATTAAAACATAAGTTAATAGTCAATCGAGTCCTGTAAACATCGATTCTGGTGAGTCAATTCATAAAATGGTTAACTTGACCTGAACAAAGCATGAAATGTATGATGCAGTTTTTGTTTTGGGGAAAGGAAGAGTATTATCATAGTAATTTTTTAGTTTGATCCTAATATTACAAAAAATCTGCTTAAATTACAGTGGGTTGCCAATCATTATTTAAAACTTTTTTGTACATTAGATTTTCTTAATGAATGGATATTACTTTTGGAACATTCAATTTTAAACCATTTCAGGTCAAAAATTTCTCCTCAAATTGAAACACTAAACGATGAAATGAATAAGGCAGAGCAGCAGATCAAGACTAATAAGGAAGAGGTTAGTGAACAGTGCAAAACGTTAAGGATAATCTTGAAAAATGTGCGAATGCAGTTTCTCAACAGCGTAAATTGAAGAGACAGGCTCAAGAGATTCGTCGTGCACTTAAAGACCGAGGATTCAACGAAGAATCACTGTCTTCATCAACTTCATCATTGATTGATGGTAGTATTCCTTCGGTTAGTTCCTCAGTCGATACCCAAAGTACCGAGATAGGTTTCACAAACAGGCCATTCAGAACAAATCTACTAATCCCCTCGTAGATACATCTGTACCGGAGGAAATACGTGACCGACGATATTGGTTTCTTACTGGCGTTACTCGTGAAAAAGTGGAAGCATTACTGGCTGATAGACCTCCTGGAACTTTTGTTATAAGACCGTCAACTGCTGGCAATAAATTAGCATTGGGTGTACGGTAAGTTCTTTTCTCCGCTTGCTCATAGATTGTGATTGTATGGCTGATAACTGATCGCACAATGAACGGATAAATTAGTTGATTTTTCTTAGTATCTAGTTGTTACACTGGTTTTTTATAGGATTCTTTGCTTTCTTTAGATGGTTGACCGTATTTAACTGTCATATACTTACTCTGCTTTAAGTTTGGTGGTAATTCATTTTTATTGTTCATATTCGGAACAAGTCAGTGTTACAGGTTTAAATGTGCATTGACATACCCATTTCGAATATCTAACATTTACATATTATTTAGGCGTCTAATGATAATAGTATTCGTTCACTTGGCAATTTTATTTATTAGTGGTGTTGCACTTTCTGAGCTCTGTGGTTTAGAAGTGTGTGGCAATGTTATCTAGATAGACGATCAAAATTTCATACATAAACTATTCTGCTTATGGAATACATTGCCAAAATCATTCTTCTGCCATACGAAATTCCTATATATCTACTTTTGTGGAGATTTCACTTGTCCAGTATTCACTATCTACGTGATGGTGTCTTGTTTAGGAACTGTTATAATCCGCTTCAAGCTTTTCATCACATGTCTCCTAGTCAGCTGTATCTTGGAATGATTTATCTATATGATTCAAATATTTTTTGACACATTTGTTTAGTAAATGATATTGAGTATAAATTATCAACTACCTGCAAATTCTAAGTTTGAAATTACGGCTTTTTCGGTTAGGTTTTGAATTAAAAGTCATTTATAGATAAAGTTATTGTTCTAGGTTGTATTGCTTGGTAGATATCATATGAATCTCTTTACTCAGAGAATGTTGGTTACATTGAATATAGTCTTCTTTAGTTCAAATGGAAGTTACTAGTTATCATAAGGTTTGCAATAGGACTTGCTGTAACAGGTGTAAAATATTAAATGGGTGCACCAGTTTCTATTATTGTACTGTAGAGGTGTGGGAAACCACTTTTGGACGTATTCTTTGTGGTTTTGTGAAGTTTTGCAACCACTTTTCTTTTACTCATCATATATCATTTGCCATTTGTCTAGCTCATGAGTTTGAGATAATGGTTGTCTGTACCTGTCGTAGTGACCCAATGAGCTCTGCTGGCTGAGATAGTAGTCCCTTGAGATCCTCCCGTGCTAGAAAGAGCGATTTGATAGTAAGGGGAGGCTAAAAGGATTTCCTGTTGTAGTGTAAATGGCTTACGCTATGGTTTGGGTTCGAGAGATGAGTTGTGTTGCTGAGTGAACGGCGTTTAATAGCAGTATAGTGTTCTCTGCGGATTACCGGCTGTCTATAGTGATATTGTCTTTCTCATAGGAAGGTGTGTTAGGAAACCTCAAATCCAAAGGTAGCACACATCCCTATCGAGCGGTCTTTTGTTCCTGATGGCGTGGTTTTTTTGTCCTAGGGTGATACAGTCAAATCTCAATCCAGAAACCGATAGCGTAGGTGTAATGTTGAGTCGAGGAAGAAAAATTACACGACAACTTGATACCAGTTGATAGTAGAATATATTGTGTTCAATTGAAGGCATCTCTAAGAGCTAGGAAGATTCGTGATACTCGCTGATGCATATTCGTAATTTCTGCGTACGCAAGTACCGACTGCAGGTCGAATGATGCAAAGGATGAATTCAGTCAAAAGTTGTCATTTTTGCTAAATAGAGCCAAACGTTCAGATATGTCCATAATAATAATAACATTCAAGTAAGGAAGTTAAGATGTTCTGAAAGGTATACTCTAGGTGTCCGTTTTACCCATCAACCATAAGATGTCATGATATCTAATTGTGAAGGAATTATCATGTATAGTCTGCCTATCTAATCTCTCCACTCTTATTTGTGCAGGTGCTTAAGTGCTCACTGAGAGTTGTGGTTTGAAGTAATAGCAACCAGGGATGTTTGTCAAGCATTTCCACTGTCACCATTTTATCTCAACTTTGCTATTGATTGTCTCATATATATGTGACCTCGTGTACTTCGTTCTTATCACGAATCAGATTTCATCAGGCTTCACTCTAATATACATAACTTTCAGCATATTTGTTAAATATCAACCAGTCAAGGTAATTAGTGGGACAACGACAACGAGGAATACGGATTGTAAAAAGGTTAATATGAATGTTCATAATGACACAACAATGTAAAAAGGTGTTCATATAGATAGAAAGACAAAGTAGGTCGAAGATTGGAAAACAAAACAAGACAACAAGGTTATGTGATACTGGAGGTTGAAGGCGGTGAATAAATAAAAGTTGAATTTGAATATAGTCCTGGTGTAAAAGAGGTGACAAAATGAAATAAAAATAAAAAGAAGAAGTACATTTTAAAATTCATAAGCAAGGTCATTAATTAGGTTCTCCCTGACCAAGGCAGCGAGCGATAAAGGCTGTACAATTTTCTCCTGGATACAGAGCCTAGGATTGTTTATTCGAATTGTTATAGCTTCAGCTATATGTAAAAGGTGGATTCGAAATCCATTGGAAAGGTTCGGTGGTATGAGGTAAATCACTTTGAATGCTTTCGTCTTATCTACTCTATGATCACTATCAACTAGATGAGATAAAATAGAGCTTCCTATAGATTTAACTTGTCCTTTACCCAGCCACGAAGTTAGGTGTTCGGTAATACGTTTTGTTATTCAATATTTGACCTACTTTGTCTTTCTATCTATATGAACACCTTTTTACATTGTGTCATTATGAACATTCATATTAACCTTTTTACAATCCGTATTCCTCGTTGTCGTTGTCCCACTAATTACCTTGACTGGTTGATATTTAACAAATATGCTGAAAGTTATGTATATTAGAGTGAAGCTTGATGAAATCTAATTAGAAACAATATTGTTCGCTTACATGTCTCGTTATAATTTTCATAATGGCAATTTCTTGCAGTTATCATGGATCACCTTACTACTGGGAAAGAACGTAGATGGCTTAGTGTACACACGAAATCCTCCTGTCAAGCTGACTGGCTTGCCAAATACTTTGAATAAAAATGGCCTGTTTAGCTTGCGTTTTGCAGCTATCAAATCTAATATGGTGCTTCAGAACTGGTTGAAAGACGTAGAGTTAAGTGGCGGATTTGGATCACCATGATGGAGTTGGTTGCTGATGAAGTTTCTGGAATGAGAAATACTCTTGGAATTCTCTAACTCACGTCATATCTGGTGCATGTGAGATACCTCACTTCTCATTAAAAGACAGGTATACCGGGCTGTAATCCGCTGTATCTTATTATATTACAGAAAGTGGAAAATCTATAGAGGTAATAGTTTCTTGACCACAGATGTCTTTATAACACTCTCGCATGTGATCGATTCACCGTATGAGCGATCTGGATTATAGGCATAGCGTAATAGCCAAAGAAAGTAAGTCGATGGAGCTGTGAACCTTCACCGATGGAGGGGGACATGGTCATATCCCTAGCCACCGCTTACTTTGATGTGCATTATTAACTGGAGTAGAATCAGGTTGCAGAAAGGCTAAGGGTGGTCAGACCGAGATGTAGTACCAGTCGATAAAGCATATGATTATTGGTTTGAGTTGTCTGGGTACGTGAAGGTTATCTTTCTTATACCGTCGAAATTAGAAGGATCAATGGTTGCGGGGTTTCGGTGAAATGGTTGAAAAGCAGTCTCGACTTTGCAGATGTAAATTCTCTGTCATTTTCGAAGTCCTGAGTATTGCGTCAACCTTTATCTATTTCCTTCCTTTCATCTTGTACACTGTTTTCTACTTGAATATCATTCGTTTTTTGGTCAGTTGTTGTTTGCATGCCATTTTGAAGAGTGGCGACGTGTACAGTGCATTTCTTTACCAGTTTCCATGTTGATCTTTTTGTTTATCTATTTGTACTAAGAAATGATTATACTCAGCAGGATAACCTAGATGTGCAAACTTCACAATTGACAACAAACATATTGAGGTAAAACTCAAGAATAGGAAGAATAATGAAACGGAAATAACGGTGATAATAATATCAGTAATCATAAAAAGCTGTGTAAAAGAAAAGGAGATCCAAAGCAATAAGGATATATAACATGTAAAATTTTCATGATGAAAATGAAGATATTGTATAAGTACTTCTGCGTCACTGTGATTCATTCTATACCATATCACTCTATCTAAATAAGTGATAAGATCTAAAGAAAAATTCCAGGATCTTTTTGAGAGCGCTGTCTTTTGTTCAAAGAATAGTTAAATTATCTTTGGAATTATCGAAACGAGCCTAGATCAAGGGGTTCATACCTTTGACTTGCTTAGCAGTAGTCTTATACCTGGATTTATTCATCAATAGAACCATACAAAAATACATTTAAAAAATAAACTTTCACATTCTTAGCTTTCCATTAGTTTTTTATGTTAGAAATAGTGTTTTTCCATACTCGTCATTTGTTTTGTGGCATTTAAATGGTGTCTTGTCTAATCCACGGAAACATTGTAAGCAATAATATTTTGTAATAGCTGACCCAACAATCAATGTAGTTACACGAATTCGTTTTACGGCGTTGAATATCCTAATTCTGAGATACGCTCACACTGCATTCAATTTTTATTATTGTTATCATGTTTACAATGTAAGTGTTTGACTGTGTTATGTCTAATAAATAAAACTATGGCTATCTCAGAGCGTCAAACGATAATAAATAAATGATAATTTGCTTTACTTGCTTATCTATATACGTAATTTATTTCTACCTATCAACCATTTTACTTGTTATATTGTATAAATAAGTTGATTTTCCCACTTCATAGTTTATATATTTGATTGTGCAGTGTTTAAATGGAATTTTCTTCACGTCAAGTCTGAGCGCGGCTCAATAAATTTATTCATCGATAAAAACAATTTATGAATGCCAGTTGTCATATGTTAGTTGCCTGTTGCGTAATATTCACTAAAATGTGTTACTTTCCGTTACTCATTGCTGAAGCTACGTTATTACAGCTTTGCACAAATGCTTCGATGTTTGAAGTATCATTGAATAATAACAAT